ATCACGCATTCTGTTAAGCTAGGAGAAAAATGAACAATGAAAAATAGTGACATCCTCTCACACTGCTGACCCATTCTGAAGAGAACCTAAAGATGAGAAGTGACTCCTAAACGTTACCTGGGCAAAACACCCACGTGTTGAAATCCCCTCTGCAACATTCTTGGGTACAGCCCTGAAACTGTCTCCCCATGATGACAACCAGAACAAAAGTAAAAGTGTGTAAAACTAAGCAATTAGAGATGTGCTGCCCTTGTGAGCCTCCCACGCTGCTGAGCTTTCATGCTCTGGGTGGTGAGCTCTCCGAGGGCAGGAGCTGTGCCCAGCGCCCAGCAGCGTGTCTGGCACAGGGAAGCGCTCAGTACATGTCAGCTGATGCAACCTAAACGGAGCTGGGAGCTCAAAATTCATAGACTGCCACTATAGCCGCACACTCAGCCCTCAACTTTTCCTTCTGAAGACCCCAGAGATGTAGGATAGTCTCTGCCAATAGGCAAAATCTAACAAGGTAACTTATTCCCACCTAACCTATAAACACTCTAATTTGCTCCACAATATGCTACATTTTGTTTAAAAATACCCAGTTACACTTCCAAGAAAAGAAAGGAAAGTTATAAATTTGGAAGTTGTTTAAGGCAACAGGAGGTACCTATTATTCTCAATCAAGATGCTCAAGGTTTCAAAGCCAGATTTGCACCTGCTGGCTTTAGTCACTTGCTGATACCCGAGGCACAGCCCAAACTAGGCTTTCTCCGTCAGGCACTGGAAACCTGAAGATCCCTAACTTTCATTCTCATACAAAAAGTCATGGAAAAGACCACAGATTGAAGCACTAGAGACGAAAGACAGGCATGGTAACAGCAGTAACAACTATATAAAAATAACTTTTCTAGGTATTTCTGCCTGGGTCTAGATTAAAACTAAAATTGAGCTGTCATGAGTTACAATCTAATCCTTTAGAAAGCAGTAGCCAAATAACACCAGGGCTGCATGAAACATTCTGGTGCTGAAACCCAATGCAAGAAAAAAAAATAAATAAAATGGCATTCTGTGATGGATATTCATGAAGCACTCATCCTAATTTAAAAGAAAACAAGTTTAGAGTTCTTACTGCATTAATTCATGTGAGCCTGAAAGAACATTTTTATCCAAACTGTTACATTTCCTACCAAGGCGTTAACATTCTCCAGGTCTGCTCAGACACACTAATTCTGAGAGGGTGCAATTTGTCTTTTAGTTAATGCAAAACATCATCAGAAGCTTCTTCTGAGCCTTCTAAGCAGGAGAGGAACAGCCTCTTTAACTTTATAACAATGATAAGGTCTAACAATTACTGAGCCCCTGCTGTGCATAGTATGCTAAGTAAGGTCTTTACCTGCTCACTGAACCTTTGTCACAACACTGAGATGGAGGCTGCAATTATCCCCATTCTACAGATGAGGAAACAAACTCAGAGACTAAGAAACTTTCCCAAGGTCACTCAGCTAATGACTGGCTGAGCCAGGATTTGGACCTAGATTTCTCAGTCTCCAGAGTCACAGCTCACGTCCTATAAGAGTAAGATTTTAATCCAGGGATATTAGTGAGATGCAGGGTTTTTACTGGTGCTGGATTCTTACTGATCAACTCCAAGTGGAAAGAGAATTCTCACTGAAGGATGTACCACCACACAAATAAAGTCAGGCTGGGTTTGACACGGTAATAATTAAGCAGTCACAATATGTGGTACTTCTGAGTGGTTTGCAGCCATTTCTCTGCAAAAGGTCCATTCTTTTTACTTCTGTCGGTGAAGTAGGCAAAAAGATGATTCAAATTCTAACCACGAATTGTAAGGATTTGTTTCACGTAAAAGAAAAAGCTTTCTTAAGGCAAAGAACTCAAAAGAAAAATATTAAGGAGTAGCATCTTATCTGCTTACTGCTGGCATTTCAGGGGCACTGGACCTGGAAAATACATTAAGTCCCACCTCTTATAACAAAAGGATTAGAAAAGCTCACCTTGAACTGCATTCTTCCATGAGGTTTTCCGTGCCATCAACATCAACCAGAAAATAAGCATGAGAAATTTAACTGCATACAGTTGATGACCTTCACTAAGCTAAATTCACTAAGCAGTTTGTCAGCTACAAAACATTAAATGGACACAATTAAGAAGTTTGAAAAACATTAATCAGAATTTAAACTAAAGTAACATGAAAATTAATGGGAATAAAACATAATGACGGCATTCTAGATGCATGCAACTGACATTGCTGACAAGTGCTTCAGCTGGAAGGCAAAGGTGGGATAGAGAGACATGCAGAAATCCACACCTCAGGGGTACACACAGTTCAGCCGCCTATCATTTCCCCACCTTGATAAATGGACACTCAATAACAATAATGATGAAAATGTATTAAGCAGTTAGGTGCTGCAAATGTTGATATTTCCTTTGTATACCGTTTTCATTTTAAAACTCATTAGCAACCCTATGAAATGGATCTTACTATCCCCTATACTACAAATAAGAAAACAGAGGCTCAGAGACATTAGACAAATTGCTCAAGTTCACACAGCTATCAAGTAGTCTTGCTGGGATTCAAAACCAGGTCTGAATCCAAAGCTGATGTTCTTTCCCCACAGCCACTAACCGAAGAATTACATGGCTTTTTTCTTTCCCCATGATCAGAAGTAAACATTTTAAAGTCTCAAAGATTTGTGCTTTCTGCTCCACCTTGAATAGCAACATTATTATTAGTTATATATAACAGAAAAAACTGATAAGCAATAACAGCTTCTCCTTAAAAAAAAAAAAAGTGGTTTACCAACAAAAATCAGGAAGTATTTGAGTACCTAAAAGTCCAGCTCCAGTATTAGATACTGTAAGAGCTCTGAAAGTATTAAGATACAATGCTCTCAAAAAAACTCTCACTCCAGTTGGGACAAGAACAAGTTCAACAACCAAGGAACGAACAAGTGCTAAATCCAAGTGCCACAAAGGCATGGGGGTAGGGCAGTCAGGGAACACCCTCTGGAGGAAGTATATCTTCAGCGAGGGCTTGAAGGAAGTGAAATGGAGAATTTGCACAGAGGAGAAGAAAAAGGAGGCCAGTACTTTAGAAGGGGAAACAACAAGAGCAAAGCCCCAAAGGCAGTAATTAATAAACTCCCTCCTGCAGGGGACAGAGGTGAAGGAGGAGAAGCAGGTAATAAGGTTCAGCTAGGTGGGGTGGGACCAAACCAAGGAGAGCCTTGAAAAGACAGGGTGACAATGGATGGACACAACATGGCAGGCAAGAGGATACATACACTCAGCTTTGAATGGTGGGTGTAAGTGCCATGGCCTTCTAGCTGATCTTCCTCCTGGCCTCTAGCCTCTCCCTTCCTCCTTTGGCAATTGAACTGCCCCTTGTCTCCTATGGCCCACCAACGCCTTTAGTATAGTTTCAACTTTGGCCTAGTGTTCAAGTTCTTTCAGGAACTTGTGCCAACCAATCTTTCCTCCCACTCCCCTCCCATATGAACCCTTCTCCACCAGGAGACCAGTCTATTCACTAACTCCATATGATCACTGGGCCTGATTCCTCTTTTCCTATCTGAATCTTACTCATCCTTTAACACCCAGCTCAAATCCCGCTCCCTCACTAAGCCCTTCCTGACCACCCGGCCTACAGTGACCTTCTTAATTCTACAGCACACAGCCTTGTTTCATCAAAATTACCTCTTTGCAGGTAATATCTCAGCCCCCAGTGTAAAGCTGCTTGGAGACCATAAGTGTGCGAAATTTCTACTACCTTCCCCCACAACATGGAACAGTATCTTGACATCTAAGAAGCAAGCAAGCACTCAACTATTTTTTGACTTCCTATAGTAAGTTTGGCGTTAGCATAAAGGAAGGAGGGGGAAGGGGGGAACCTCTGGAGTCAGAGACCCGCTAAGAAGCTGTTGCAATAATCCAGATGTGAAGCAAAGAGGGCCTGGACTAGGGAACAAAGAGAAAATGAACAAATATAAACAACAAAAAATGCTGCATACAAAAACTCAGCAGAATGTGATTAACTCCTACTAGGGACAAAAGCAAGGATGAATGATAATTAAGGTAAGGTTTAGAAAACACTTCTTGGAATCATTTTAAAGCCTGTCTGAAACAAAGTGTATTAAGTGGCTAAAAAAGTCCACATTGGCAAAGTCTTCAGTGAAACTGACCAGAACCTGGAACCAGGGACAGCCCTTCCAATTTCAGACGCACACGGAATGGTAGAGCTGGAAGGGTCCTTATAGAGCTAATCTAAACCCTCAATGATCTCATGGGGAAACTGAGACCCTGTGTGCTACAGACTTGCTGAAAGCCTCAAGGCAGACTCCCAGTCGGTGCCCCTCCAAAAAGCACAGCCGCTTAGCCTGGAAGGGCACTGTTTACACCCCCAGGTCAGCCCCAGCCCAGCCCTCCGTAATGGCAGGACCAACTAAGCGCGAGAGTGACCATGGAGACGTCTGGGGCCAAGCACAACGCGTCGCCGCCGCCTGTTTACCTGGCTGTTGCGTGAGGCAGCGGTTCCCTTCCAGCCGCCCACAGGGCCGACCCCCCCGGCCGGGCCCGGCTGTCCAGGGGACTCGACCATCTGGACCCCCACGTACAAAAGGGAGCGCTCCCAGGGCAAGGGGCCCGGAAGCTGGGGAGCCCGAGACGCCCGGGGCGGAGGCTGGAGAGCCCGGGGCAGCCGCTGGAGCGCGACCCTCGGCCGGGCCAGCGGCGCCCGGACTCTAAAGTCGAGTGCGGTTGGCCCCTCGGGGGCGCGCGCCTGGCCCCAGCAGGTGCCCAGGGCCTCCCGACCCCGCCCGGCCTCGGCTCCCGCCCGTGCCGGCCGCCCGCCCACCCTCCGGCCCGCGGGACTGACCAGGCGCGGAGGCGCCCGCCCCGCCGCGCCCAGAGGGAGCCGGACAGCGGTCCTGGAGCTGCCCCTGGCCCCGCCGCCCCGCCCGCGCCTCGCCCGCTGCTCGCCGCCCCCGGCCAGCGCGCCTCACCTGCTCAGAGCGCAGCGCTCACATCGCCCGCCCGCGGCGCCCCCTCCGCCGCCGCCGGCGCCAGGCCCGTCCCC